CGGGCAGGGCGGTGGTGGTGGTTCGGGGCTGAATTTCTTTCGCTCTTTCCCCTCGCTGGCCCTCGCTTTACCTACTCCCACCAGGTAGCCAGGGCCTGCCCAGCGAGGACTTCAGCTGCCTGGGCGGGAGATGAGACAGGAGAGGCTGGGAGCCCTCGCTTTTCCTCTGTGTTGTGAGGTTATAATACAGGGACCAGTCACAGAAATATCGGCAATGTAAAGATGGAAATGTGCATGTAGGAGGTCATAAAGAAAAACAACTCGATGACAATTAACAGAAGGGCCTGCATGCTCCCATCAGTCAAGCTCAGGAAGGTGCAGCTCCCATCCAGCTTGGAGAACCGTGCTCTGGTAAGGCCGCCGCCCCAGCAAGAGGAGGATGCACCACAGACACCGTTGCTCCCCTGCCCGCCTGCCAGGAAGGTGAGCACGGCAAAGGAAAACCTCAAACAGCTGCCGACTCCCAGGGGACAGAGAAGAGCTGTCTAATGTCATTACCACCCGCCAGCGCGAACCCCAGAGACGCGTCTGACAGCCGGCATCCCTCATCCTCTGCATCACCCGCACACAATCCTGGGCAGACAACACAGGCCTGGGAGTAGACAACTGAAATCTGTGAGAGGATGTGTGTGAGTGCGTGAAAAGCAACTTAAGTGGTTGTGTAAACAAACCCTTCCACAAGATGTGGCACTGAATTTTGGTACTCGGCCGGATCCACTTGTCCCACACAATTCCTTCCCTCGCCTGCTTCTCCACAGACCCCCCAGCCCTTCGTCGCTCCCTGTGCAAATAGTTCTCTGCATCTTCACTGGGGCAGAGGAGGGACGTTATCAGTGGGCGTAGAGGAATAGGGAAGAGCACTGTTCTGTAATGTACACATTCAGAGCCACAACGTGACTGTGGTTTTGTAATAACCATTACTTCTATATCAGGTTCATAGTCCAGCAGGGAAAAGCATTGAAGCAGCTGCGTTAAGACTGCTGCTTTAAGTGCTGGCACTGAATTCACCTTCAGCTGTGCCTAACTATTCAGTTAACATGCATCACTTGAGCCTTTAAATTTTGAATCCACCTCACACTAGATTTCCAGGTAAAACTGAAAATCAGGTGTTTTTCTGAGCATTTCATGATTTAAAAAAAAATAAGCAAGCAAACAATTCTAGTAGATATGAACATTCTGCATAAACAAGCAGAGGAACAATTTAACAGAAGCCCAAAGCATGCATTCATTTTTAGTATTTATTTTCCTATCACAGGAAATTACTGATTGATTCACGTACCTTAGAAACACATTAAAAACCCCAGCAGCCTTCATATGAGTGCCAAGGGAGAAACACAGGGTGAAAGAGGTAAGGAAGAATATCTACTTCTGACCTTTGCTGAGTTCAGTACTAAACCCCCAAAAGAGAGGACAATCTCTCATTTGTGGAAAATTACTAACTTCCCCTACTGATTTTTCTATAAATAGAGCCCTGTTTAAAAAGGGCCTGCCAACGGGAAGCCAAGCAAAAGTTGCACCACAGTGAGTGCTCGTTACCTACACAACAGCTGCGAAAGCCTGACTCAGACCCAGATCACTCAAATCTACCTTAAATATTAAGAAAAACACACACCACCCACAATTAAACTCCCTCCTCTTAGTAAACCGAGTTGAAAAGCTTGAAAAAAACCAAACAGGATTGCAAGTGAGAACAGAGTCTTCTGCTTTCTGATGAAAAAATACATCCCACAATGTCAAACCTCTTCACGAATTACCCTCTGCCGAGTTTCACATCCCCCTGTACAGCTGAACTGCGGGCACTGTAGCCTCCAGCCATGCCATCAGTGACACTCTCTCAGTGTCCTGCAACTGTGGTGACAACACCCATGATGTGTAAGGACAAAGACAAATGTGTTTTCCTCATGAACAAGAAACACAGACAGACACATAGAAATCACAGTAACATCTTTATTATAAAAATGCTTAGGTATCCAAAAGTTTCTGGAGTGCTACGGGACCACCCTTTGTTTCAGGTACTTTTTTCATTTCATAACGCATACTAGAATTACTTTGTTACATATAGATTTATTTTTTTAAAGTTCTCTCAAAATTGTTTCTATGTTCCAGTTTAAAACGTGAGGAGTCAGAAAAAACCCAACAGACAAGGCATTTAGCATTCTAATTCAGCTCCTTGAAAACAACCTCTAAAAACCACATCAGCAACTCAGTGTACACATGATTAAAGCACACGGGAACTGAAGTTTCAAAAGAGAAAGCACTTTAGAAAGAGCAAAAGAAATATCCTTTCTTTATAGCACAGTGCAATTTAAAATGAGCGTGTGCCTGAATCGACAAGCAATACTCACAAAGATACAACACAATTTGTTCTCAGGTATAAAACTTGTCTGACAGGAATGGAATGACCCATAGAAACACTGTGTGAAAAAAATTACAGAACTGAGTGTCAAGGACAAATGCTCAATTTATACTAAAAATGGGAATTAATGGCTGCGCATGCAAACTGAGGTAAGCAGAACTGTCATTAGCTGGTTTGCATGTGCAAAAGGCTCGTTACTTACGTGCATGCAGATACACTTTATACCTGAAAACTCTGCCATTGAGATTTAGATGCTTTCTTTGAGCCTACTTACAAACTGTGTTTACTCTCAAAGCCTTTTTTATACTTCCCCAACATTCTGAATACAGCTTCACGTCAGGAATTACAGAAAGCCGCGTAAGTTATTTAAAAGATTTATGCTCCATAAAATAGCCTCAGCTATTCCTCAGCAGAAGCAGATGCATGAAATAAGATTCCAGATGAGGCATCTTCCTCACCACCTTCCTTAACACCTGATTTAGGGGAAAAGTTAAGAGTGCTCCTCAAGCAAAGGCCACCCAGCAGTGCACCTGAAGCATCCTCACGAAGGGTTAAACAACTTTGGTGTGTTCAGCGCAGGTTCTGCAGCAGGCAGTGCCCACCTGGCACGAGCTTGCTGGGGCAGCATCCAAAGGCTGAACAGGAACAATCGTTTGTGGATCGCGGCCACCCTGGGATCCCTCGGCCAGGGCTGAGGTCACATGCTACGTATGTTCTGGCAATTAGCATCCTTAATTAGCTGACACTTATCTTTACATTATGGTTAGTAATATATTTAAGAAGAAGGCATCTATAAAATTATTTCGTAAGTGAATACATGCTGGAAAACTACCTGACCAGAAACTGTAGAAGCAGAGGGTTGTGTTTTACTGTGTACACCGGTTATGCTGGCATTAAGTCTTTTTTTGGTTTTGGTTAAGCATTAAATTCTACCATCAGGATTTGTTCCTCTCATTACTTTCAGGTACTTTAAAAGAGTCCTCTTTGCGGGATATGGTATACATTAAACAGAAAAATGAAAAGTAAAATAAATGTTTGTTATAGACAGGAAGAGTGGAGGGTTGTGAAAAAATTTCTCATCATCTTTTTCTTTTTTTTAATTAAAAAAAACCAGATCACTACAGCTGTAAAGAGCAATCAGTCTAAACTGCATAGTTACTTATGGTTTCTTGGAATGGCACCAGCGAGCCTAGATATGCAAACTAGTCCGTTCTGCTTTGGAGTCCAAACCTCAAGCAACACTTATGCACAGCAGCCTCCTCTGTATGATCTGGTTAGAGGATGCAATTGCTGAATTGGATTAGATCTTGGATCTTCTAACCAGCACAGGATTAGGGAAAAGATGGATCAAACTGATTCTTCAGCTGTGCATACAATTTAAAAACAAAAACAAACGAACAACAACAAAAACCCCCAACCCCACCACCACAAACAAGGTACCTAACAAGGCACTGAAGAGATTTAATCTTCTTGAATGCAAAGCTGATCTATTAGGCCCTGCCTGGCTCTTTTATAGATTTGTATGCACAGCAAATAAGAAATATAAAATCTGTTTGGTACCCAGAAGGTATTAATCTTCATTCACATCCAAGTCTACAAAACAGACTGAGGTAAAAGGCAAAGCCTTCGAAGTCACCAAACAGAACTGGTGAGCACGTACGTGTGTGTAAACAGAACTGCTGCAAGGATTTGGCATTGATCTGATACTGCAAAGCAATTTTTTTTAATGCACTTCATACTGACATTTGAGCAAAGTCAGTTCTTATAATGGATCTGACAGATATCTGATTTGAGCGGGAAAGGCCTCCCTCCTCTTCAAGGATTTCCTAGCATTTCCCCTTTGTTTTCATCGAGTACAAAGGGAGAAGGGAAGTCTCTGTTCTTCATGTACGCCTCCAGACCCTGAGAACGTATGAAAACAGTACCATTAGGTCGTAAATGCATCAGACTGGTTACCTGCTCTATTTTTAAGTCCATGTAATGTCCTCAAAGAACGACTGACTACCCAAAGTTAAAAGGTCACGGGAAGGACAGACAACAGCAACAGCTTCCCCAGTGACAGAGATGGAAAGCATTTCAGCCCCAAGCCTGGGGTTCATGAAGGAGAGGCACCGATGAACCGTAAAACAATGGATCTCAGAAACAAGCTTCCTGGGAAGGAGCAGGCATGGGAAGGCGTGCCCTTAACTCACATTAGAATAATCCTAGCGAAGAAAAGTCAACTTAAATTGCCTTGTTTTCATTTTGTTCTTACAATGCACTGATTGCGAGGAGTTCGCTACCTGCACACAGAAACCTAGTGAAGATGTAAAGTTTTATGAACGCCCTTCCCCACAGTGCTCACATATCCTCCTGCAATCCACTATTTCTCACCCTGTCTGTCCAACACAAGGAAGCTCCTCTTCTCACTACTAAATGGAAGCAGCTTTCCCAGGACCAATTATTTTCAGAGGCACAAACTTGAGAAATCTGTGCTAAGACGTGGTTTCTCTAAAGCCAATGCACATATCACACTTCTCATTCAGTATTCACTCACTGTGGGAGACGGACACAAATTAGCATACAACCAAATACAGTGACCCCATGGATTTTGTAATTTGAATATTCTGTACTTTTCATTCAGAAGATCTCAAAGTACTTGTGAGTCTTAATAAAACTGTGCAGCCTGGTTGCAAATCTCATTTTACAGATGTCTAAAACTGAGACTGAACAAACTGTTGAAGAGTAAACCACAGTGTAACCAAGAACGTAACACAGAGCCCAAGTCATAGTTCCCTTGATCTTACCATTTCTCGGCAAGCCCAGGCTAAAAGGAATCCCCTGTGTTTGGAAGGAAATCAGATGCATACCTGCACACTCTTAAAAATAGTGTGTTATAGTTAGTTAGTTATAACTATCCATAGATAGTTATTCTCATAGAGGTGCTTTTCAAGACTAACGGAGAAATCTCACACACAGCCGGAGGATCTTCAGTTCCTGAGAGGCTAGGGAAGAGAACACAGGATTGACTTCTTGCTATGCTTAAAAAACAGTGCATCTTCTTCAAAAGATCATCAAGAACAGGATATCCAGAAGGATAAGACATTTGTTACAGTCACATGCACCAGACATTATTCAAGCACAAAGTGTGAAAATAGAAGGGAATTAGCAGGTCCCAAAAATTTCTCATCAAAACAACATCACTTTTATAGAGGTGCTTTTCAAGTAAAATGAACGGCTTGTGGGTTTATTAAACTATGAGTTGGTGAAGTAATAGCCCCACAGAGTAAAAGCAGCTTCCCATTCACCGTGATGCAGGAAGTATCTGAATTGGTAATTGCTGTAATAGCTGATCCTTAAGCCGACCTGAGAATCTTGCTGGGCTTTAAGCACCAGGGCCATATTCAGAAAAGCTGATGAGGACTACAGATTACAATTCCTTGGGCTGGCTAAATCCAGAATGATGGAAAAGGTTGCCCCTGCCTAATGAGTTGCTGTAGGAGGAGTCAACTCACAACCCCAAGGGCAGGAATCTCTGTCAGAGATAAAGCCCAGAGCACTGTGCATTACTGCCTAGAGCACTCACAATCACTAATGGAGCAGGAGCTGTAATAGACATGACTCTGCATGTTCAGAAAAGACCAGCTGAAGAAAAATCATGCCGAGTCACCCCGTGATCAAACTAATGTCCGGGTTTGTAGAGCACAGTACATGCCATTAGCTAGGAGGCAGAGAAGCTGCAGAGAAGATCACAGAGGCTCGTACCTGAGTTTCTCCGGTATCCTGCAGCCATTTTCATCCAGAAATCTGGCCCCAGCCTTGAGAGCCCAGCGGTAGTGCTGGGCCAGGAGGGCTTGCCGAGCAGTGGTAGGAGTGTCTTTGTCAGCTGTGTCTGCGTTTTTTAGTGGCGAGAACTCCTCTTCTCTCAAAACTTCAAATGCCACAAAATTCCTACCGGCAAAGGGGAGAAGACAATGATAATGAAAAACAAAGCTAGCCATCAGCCCTGTTGATGCAACAACAATTTTCACAGGGAAAGGCTCATATATATTTTAGGGAGCAGTGACGTACGCAGCCTGGCGCAGTCAAGCTAAGGAAAGCCCACCTCCCATCTGAAGAGCAAAGAAGTACCAGGGCTATATGATGGAAAAACACAACAAGAAGCCCAGTCTCTTTGGGAACATAACAGCAGCGTCACAACTCCCCAGAGCTGTGCACAGGCAAGAGGAAAAGCAACAGTTCTGCAAAGATCCCACAGAAACCTCTCCAGGCACTAGGAGGCTCGTGGACAAAAACTCTCAGCTGAGAGCATGGCAGGATGGAGAGGGCAGCGATGCCTGAAGCTCGGACACAGCGCTGAGCTGTGCGGCTCACTTCAGAGCACTGCACCGCTGCCCCAGGAAACGGCCGCTCCACCTGGGAGTCTGTAGGCAAGGATCAGCTGAGGACACCGGTTCCCAGGGATGAATAAGCAGTATGGGAGGATTCACAGTTGAATGTTAAGTACAGCTGTTTATCAGAAATGGCAATGTAAATTAAAAAATCCCACAGCAGCATCTGTGTGTTTCTGCATTTCACTTGTGAAGAGCAGCTGCCAAGCTGGTTTTGCAGTATTATTAAAAAAGCACAAGGAATCGCCGCTTGCAAATGAGTCCTTTCAAAGCTCAGAACTCGGCACTGTTTCCATCACACTGGTTTTGCCTTTGGTATGATACTTCTTTACTGAACGCATGTCAGGAAACGGAGACCGGTTCAAACCTCGAGTGCTTTATCCTAAAGTAAATCCTCTAAAGAGAAAAATACTATCCCCAAGGATAATTCAGTTTGCCTGAGGTCTCTTTTTGCCATTTATTTAAGCCTAAAACAGAATCTTTACTGCTGAATTCAAGACCTTGGAAAATAGGTCAAGAACACTTATGCTAAATTCCTAAATTATTAAAATCCCACATTCTCTAAACACAAAGTAACTGCGCTGTTACTGCGCTAACACTATGGCACAGTGCTCTCAGCTATGTTTTAGAGCTTGGCAAGTCAACACTGACAGTTCCCACAGTAACAGTAACTTGGCCCCACGGTGCTTAAGCAACCTGTTTTCCAAGCACAAAGGGTGTGAGCTGAGCCCTGGCGTAACACGCACCAAAAACGTAACCAGAGCTGCAGTTGCCATGGAAGCCACAATCCTGAAAGGCCTCATTTTTGCAAGTCTGACTACTCCAACGTGGGATTGTATTAAACATTGGCTTTGCGCTCAATTTCTTTTTTTTTTTTTTTCTTTCTTTCACAGGGCTGGCAGAGGCTGGGCCAGCCAACACATCCTTGGCAGAACGAACGGTTCTGGGAGCACGGTCAGAGCAAGCCCGGCTGCTGCCGAGCACCTTGTCACCGCACCTCTCGGAGCCTGTTGTGTTGGAGCTTGGTGTAGATCCAACAGCCTTTCTAATGAGCCACCCACAAACCACGCGCTCCCTGGCAAGGCCTGTTACAACCTACAGTCATTCAAACAAACATTGAGAAGGAGAGGAAAAAAATAAAATCATGTCTGCCACTAACTTAGAGAACTGGAACACATCAAACACAAACTTCTCCAGCTTTATCCCGTTCGGTTTTAGCGGTTTTACCAGATTTCCCTCCTCGTCAATGTAGGGCACCTTCTTTATGGCTACATGATGCCTCAGCTGCGGCTCATATTTCCTGCAAAAGGAGAAGAAACAAATCCATTTACTTCATGCCCACTTAGAAAAAGGTAGTACGCTTCTGGGAAGCAGATGGCTTATTACTGCTCTGGATCATCTCTCAACTGTTGTGGGTGTTGCTCTCTCCAAATTGATCCAAGTCACATCCAGGAAACCCCGCTGAGCAGAGCAGCCTGGCCAGCGGCTCTCCCTGTACCAGTGGGACATGACAGGGTAAAGCAAGAGGAGAGGGAGGACCCAGTGTCGAGCTGAAATTGCAGGCAGAGATAAAAAAAGGTAACCGATTGTTACCAAAATTATTATCTGACTGGGATGACAATGGAGCAGAGCAGATCCCTCACACAAGGGTGGATCAAGCTCTTCAGGAAGGTCATATGGCTGCTCACTGAATGCCCAGCATCACATCCCCATCTCCCAACACCAAGGTGCACAGTCCTCCCCCAGCTTCACCTTCTCCCCCAACCTCTGTTGTCCCAAGGGATGGCATGGGTGACATTCCCATTTAAAACCTTCAGTGTGGGGCTGCGTTACTGACCACACTGCAGCCCATGTGGCTGCTCACCCTTGCAGGCCCAGGAAGGTCATGCACTGATATCTCTCGGTCGATTTAGCTACAGCAAAGCATGCAACCTCTTCATCGGGTAAGGCCTGAAGAGCACGCTGGGGCTGTCAGAAAGTGGACACAGCTGTTTTGAACTGTTTGGAGGAGAGAGGAGGTGAAGAGTAGAGCAGGAGGTACCCATAACTGAAATTACAGAGTGGGAAACAGGAACACCCACTCTTGGAGGCATTTCTGGGCTGCACAGTTGCCTAGCAGGTCTGCTGGAACTTACTGGGCCACCATCTCCAGGAACTCAACTGTGAAGAAATGGTTGCAGATACTGCCGGTGCTGTACATCAGTCCCCCATCGGGGCTTTGCTGCTGTGCAGTCTCCAGGCTGATCTCACTGTACTCCACCACCTGGTAGACCCCATCCACACAGCACACCACCCCAACAGGCTCTGTGGGGTAGGCCTTCTCCACCACCTGCAGCCACAGGACAGAGGGCTATGACAAGGAGGAAGAAAATCCCAGCGCTATTCCAAATCCCACGTACAAATGGTCCTACAGGACTGCTGCACGCTGATCCTCCAGCACCTCAGGAGCACGGGCAGGGCAGTGCTGGGTGTACGGAGTAGCCTGGAAGCACATTTTGCCCAACAACTAGGCATAAAACCCAGTACTCGACCACTTAATTGCACAGTTGCTCCAAAGACAAACCAGTTTAAAGAAATCGGCATACTGTGGGGCACTTTTCTTACCAAGCACTGGGACCTGGCATTAAATGAAAAATGTTTGCAGCTATTAGCCTTCAGCTCTCTGTTTGCACGAACAGTTTTAATGATTAAAGTAATATAAATCTCTCCTCAGGCACCTGCTGCTTTAGGGTGACAAAACCAGGCTGATTTGGCTTTCCCCATCTTCCACAGTGGGGCATAAGGAATGCCTCCATTAGACTTAAAGGTGCCTTTATAAAACACAACTCAGTCTAATACAGCTTCTAGATAGCCCAAGTGCCTCTGTAGAAAGGGCAGGGCATAAAGGGGAAGCAATTCCAGTTTGTAGTTTCCTGCACAGTTACAGTCCCTGCTCTAACTGAAGTTTATTTTCCACAGTACTCTGGGAAGAGGGGAGGAGGACACCCACAGGTAGGGATTCTGAATGCAACGCAGGCAGCAAGCAGCTCCTCTAAATCTGCTTGGAGCGAGCCGCTGTTAGGCGGAGGTCTGAACACCCTCGTTCTTCTAAGCTCACCAGCAGCTTCCAAGTGTAATCAGACCTTAACTCTCTGTGGGAAAACAGCCCAGCGTTAGCACAGACTCACCTTTGCACCGCAGTCTGCCCCTTTGGAAACACAGAAGCCTATGAAGACTGGATCTGCCATTTTCACGAGGATATTGTCCACACAGTATACATGGACATACTGGATTCCACGCTGCTTCATGTCGTCCAAGATCTTATTATCCACCAAAGCACGGTATAAGCCACCATTGCCATCTATAATGCAAGAGAAAAGAGAAAGCCCTGGTTAATTAGTGACTTTGCAGGTTTTTTGCAGCTAACAGAGCAAAAGCTGAAAGTCCTGAACAAACTTTCTTTAAGAGCAGAGCATTAGAAATGCTTTCTAGCCAAGAGTCAGTGCTACCAGATTTTATTTCCAGCTCTGCCACACAGTTCAGGCAAGCCTGTTCCCCTTCACACACCAGCTCCCTCACCTGCAGAGTGGGACCATGGGGACCAGCCTCACAGAGAAGCATTACGAGACTTTATGAAGCCTTGTGGGATCCTCAGAGGAAAAACACTAAAGGCCAAAACATTACGCAGAGGGTGGGAAAAGCCTGTTACATTTCTTCTCTTCCCATGCAGAGCAAAAGCATATTTAAAACTCAGCCTGGACAAAAAGACCAAAATAAATCTTACTCTCTGTTTGTCTTCCCCCCACAACTTCCCAATGCCTTTTTAAAGGCTTGAACTGCAGCTGCACAAAAGACACCTGCACGTTTGTTCATCACAGATCACCTTTTCACGGTTCCTCCTTTGACACCCCTGTCGGCTCAGGAAAACCACTCTGCAGCCGCTAAACCACATCACTGCAACATGGCCCCAACCAGGCTGCCTTCACCGAGCCTCTGACCATGCCCAGGTTAAGAGAAGAGAACTTTACTAGGTGAGACATTGCAACCATTTTGGAAAGAGTTAATCTTCTCGCTGCTTTTTTACCCATTTCCAGCTACCAGCCTTGAACGGGAGTCCGGCTCCCGACAGCTTCACCCCTGGGAGGCAGCACCCCAGGGACCTCATGCACAGCCCTGCCGATGCACATTGTTGCTAACCTGCAGCTGCCCCACTCCTAATCCTGCCCATACTCCCAGACTTTGATAAAAAACATGCGCTGTGGGCAAATCTCCAGCAAGAACTAAACAGAGATTGCTACAGTCTTGATTACCAGCCTGAAACATTTAACTGAACCCTCCCACACTCATCAGAAGCATTAACATTGACCTCCAAAAACTGCTTCATGTGCCAAGGCTGGCTGATGGCTAGTAGCAATTATCAACACGTTACATTACTGTACCATGTAAGGGTGAACCTGGAGGTGTAAGGTGTACCTGGAGCCATAGCAATTTTCCCCTTCTCCTCCAAGATGGCCTTCCCATCAAAGGTGACAGCAGGCAGCATTCTCTGTTCAAACATGACCACATTGGATCTATCCAGGTTGAAGTAGTCATGTTCTACAAAGAACTCCTCTGTCGGTCCCAGCGTGAACTCGCTTGTCATGATGTACCTGGGTAGGAATGGGTGCTGAGCAATGAGCAAGAAAAACACAAGCGAAAGACAAAACTACAAATGGAACACAAAAGGGAAGAAACCCAAGAGTGTTAAATGAGAGATGCTACAGTATCCTGCGGTATGCACTTTTGTCAAACCCTAGCTCAGACCAGGCAGTAACTTCATAAAGGTATCTCTTCATAGTCTAATGAAGAACACTTAGCAGAAAACATTCCCAGAAGCGTGCCGCAGCGCCTTCCTCTCTCTCACCCACCACATCCCATAGGGAATTCATATTTTACACCTTGCACAGAGCTAGTGTCTTTTGAAGCCTGGAGGCTTTTGAAAGCTAGGAGCAGCCAGGAGAGATGGCAGCCAGCTGTAAACAACAACAGCAGGAGGTGGCCTGAAAATGGAGCATGACAAGCATTGACTACTGTGAGGGGATGAGTTTTTTTGCTGTGGCAGAAATTGCAGCCAAGGGGAGGCAGAGGGTCTTAGAAGGTGAGCTCTAGGTGATCTCTCCCTCCATGCAGGAACCTGAGAAAGCACAGCACAAACAGATGAAATCTCTTGCGAAGGATCTGAAACAGGCACTGAAAAGTGCTGTTTATAGCGTTGTCAGGGACTGTGCTTGAAAAGACAGCACGGTACAGCAGTTAGGGTAGCGGTCAGTGATTCAAGGGCAGTGCTCGGTCCCTCAGGTTTGCAGACAAGGAGCTGCCACTTCCCATCCCTGCACACCCTCCTCCAGCTGCTGGCATCGCAAATCCTGCCAACAAAAGGCTCTCCCCTAACCTGCCTCTGTACGGCACCCAGCAAAGTGCTTCTAGAAGACGACATAGGCAAGACTGCAACACAGACCCCTGCACAGTAGGTCTGTGGCTCCAGGTCACCTACCATGGGATGTCACACTTGCAGTGGTGTCTCTGGCCAGCGAGCTGCTCCACTTTGCGGATTCTTTCTGCTTGGATCTGATACAAAGTCTTGCCACTGGGCAACCCCACATTGTACATGCCCTTGGGATAGCTCACTCCCAGGCGAGTTCCTTGTCCTCCAGCCAGGAGCAGCACTGCCACCTTGTTCTGCGAGATCTGATGCAAGCCTGAACAGAAGAAAGAAGCCCAAGGGAACATAAGAATCACAAAAGCAATCAACATCCCATGCTCTTCTCCTGAGCCTTTCTGCAAAGCTCAGGCAGCAGCCAGAAGCTGCCACTTCAATGCCCACTGCTGCCAGTTCAGAGAGAAATACAATGCTGCACGTAATACCAAAAATCCATTTCACCTTTTTGATGCAGCAGTTTCCTCACCAAAGCAGCGGATGGTGTAACAACAGGAAACAGCCATGAGTGGCAGCTTAGGAGGTTCAAACTGGACATTAGGATAAAAACTCTTTACTAGGAAGGTGGTGCAGCATTGGAAAAGATATCCAGAGAGGTGGGGGATGTCCCTCCCTTGAAGTTTTCAAGGCTTACTTTGATAAAGCCATAGCTGACCTGACCTAGGGCTGGGTACGGTCCTGTTCCAAATAGGGGTTGGACTAGAGACCTCCAGAGGTCCCTTATCACCAGCATTTCTACATCCCAAAAAAACGAAGTCTCATCATCTTCAGTAAAGCACGGGCATTTCTGGAACCTGCCCTAATCAACTACCTGTACTTGTGCTCCAGCTTCTGTTCAGCTGCAGTCAGGATTAATAACACAGCCAAGCATGCAGAAGCCACAACTCCCACAATCTAATTAAAAACAATATAATTTCTCCCGACAAACCAGGGAAGTCCAGAACTTGGGGAAGAACCAGACCACATCATAAACACCCAGCTCATTCACAGTCTTTGTTCCCTGCCTTCTCTCAAGCCAGCATCACAGTAACAACCGACAACTCTGAGAAAGAATTTTCCTTAGGGAACACTTTGCAGTCCTCCAGGAATGCAGTGAGCTCTGGGACTGCCCAGGTCAAAAGCCACAGCTCTGCTGCTGTACAGTAGCTATCAGAGCCTTTTGCAACCTAACGCAAGAAGTCTACTGCACATCACCAAGGCTGCCGCTGCTCCCTTTGGTCCAGGACAGCCTGTGCTTCACCCCAACCTCCGAGGAAAAGACAAACACCCAACTTTTAACCACATCTGGGACTAAAAAATTCCTAACTTTGACTGAAAGACATAGGGACCAAAGATAATGAATTAGAAGAAAATCAGGATTGTTTTTATGCTCATCTTTAAAATGAGCAATAGAGGGAAAATGCCAATTGCTGCTGTAACAACCTGGCTTGGTTTTAATTCTGTTCAAAAATCTAGCTTTCAGCAATAAAAACAGACATAAGTCATCCATGATATTGCAGTAATACTGTTGACCTCCCCATGCTTAGAAGTTTCAGTCCCACCACAGCAGTAACACCACGTTTCTGCCTAAACTAAACCCTTTCCAACAAGGCTGGTAATGCCCGCTCAGGCACACCGAAGGAAGCTGGTTATGCAGCCCTGCCATCGCTTTGCTGCACAGCAAGCCTTTAAGCTCACAAGACAACAGAAGTATTGGCTGGAATCCACCTCTGGAGATCTGCCGTCCACCCTCCCGCTCCAAGTGGGATTAGGACAGCTCTCTAGAGGGAAACCTGTGCTGAAGGTGGAAGTCTTGGGATTTCAAAGTTTCAGGAGGTCCTTGGATAGAGGGGGAAGCTTGAATGGGTTTGAACTTAAAATTTAAAAGGCACAGCCAATAGCACTGGGTGAGCTGTATGGCGATGCAAATAAAATAAACATAATTTTATGCAACAAACCACAAACAATTAACAGCTCCTTTGCATCTTTACTGAACTTCCCATCGCAAAAGACTTAAAGCACAGAGCAGGGGGTCTAAGGTATTAGATATGGCACTATTACTTGCTCCGGTCCTCAGCACGAGGTTTGCCACCACGTGCTCGACAGGCTGCCAGCGCACAGCACCATCGTGAGAGAAAGGAAGGACCTGAGCAAAGGGCTGCAGGAGCATGGCTCCAGGCCTCCCAGCGCCCCGGCTTGGGTGGTGGCTGTCCCCCAACCGGGACCTGGCACACAGGCAGCAAACTCACGCAGGAGGGAAGCGTGCGGGTGAGACCTGTGCCTTGCACACAAGCCTGGCTCGCTGCAGCCACACAGCCCTGGAGAGCACAAACCTGGGTAAGACCTTCCTTCCTACTAGCCCCTTCTCCCTTCTCTTCTCTCTCCTCCCCACATAGACAGAGATTCAGCAAACCGACAGCCAGCTCAGCACCAGGCTAGCTGGGGGTGCTCAGCTCCCAGCTGGCCCTTGAGTCCGCATCCCGACCAGGACCAGCCCCACCATCGCTTCTGCTTGTACCCGTGCCTTGGAGCAACAGCCGTGGGATGGAGCAGGGAGGAATTACAGGCCTGTGGAGGGGTAAGCAGCGATGACAAAATTACCAGCGGGGAGAGAAAGGGAAAGTGATTGCGGTTAGAAACCAAAGCCAAACTCTTTGGGTCGGGTCACTCTGTTGTGGCAGCCACCCCCTGTCCTGGGGCAGGGCAGGGAGAGGACAGTCACAGCTGTAGCTGAAGCAGTGAGTGTTACCACAAGCGAGGACATGGTCGCACAAATCCTGCCCATTCCCTTCCCCTGCTTTATCCCAGGAAAAGGAGTAATACTGTCATGGTCCTGCTGAGCTCAACCAGTGCGGGGAGCTGATTCACCGCCCTGCAAGGAAACACCTCTCGCTTGGCCAATCTATCCCTGAGCAAGCTTAATCTTGGCCTCTCCACAGTAACGACAAGCCTCTCAAAGTAAGATAAATAGCAGTGTCTGAGCAAAGAAAAGCCCTTGGCCGTGAACACTGGCGAGAGTGTACTTGCTGTCATTCCCATGGCCAAGGACAATGCTGGATGAGTCACTCTCCAGTGATTCCCAACCGCATTTAAAACCCACAGCAGATGGACATGGGCCCGGAGACCTGGCGATGGGAAGGGCTCTGAACGTCACCATGCCACAGCTGCCCAGGGCTGAACGAGTATCACCAGACAGCAGCACGAGACTGCCACGTGCAGCTGTGCAGGACCAGCAAGCCCAGTGAGCACATCCTACTGGACAGAGGAGCTAAGATGGTGAAATATATATGTACATACACGTCACCATCCAGTTGGCTCCAGCGACTTGCTCCTCAGGATGCAAGCAAATACGCAGCTTGTTCACAGCCGCACCAGTTGTGCCACACCAGTGCCCCACAGCACCAGTTAGGAGGGTCACAAGGGCAGCAGTGTGAAAGGAAACACACAGCCTTCCTCTGGCTTCAAGACCAGCAGTCCCCCAACAAAGCAAATCTGAAGCTCTCTAAAGATCCGAACAACCTTGGACTGAAGTTGAAGGCTAAGGCACGTGGTTAGTAAAATCAAAGTACCCAACCACATCCCACTCAGGACTGCTCCAGGTAGGGATGCTGCGTGGGTAACACCAACCAGGCAGAGCGAGGCACTGAGTCATGGTTCAGATGCAGCACAGTCATCGCCTTCCTCCATCAACTGCCTCCATCGACACAGCACTCCCCCATGCTCCAAAGCCGAGTACTCATTAGTGCTCATCCTTACCTAAGCCTCGTCTTACTGCAGGGCTGGGGCAGGTAGTGCTTCTCCGCTTGGCCTCGCATATGTGAGCGGGGCAGCACCGGAGCAGCACCATGCCAGGCTGGCGGGCTCCTTCCACCAAACCTGACCCAAAACATCCCAGCGG